CCAGCTTACTAGGAACAGAAGCTTCCAGACCCCAAGCAGTTAGAACACTTCAACAGTAACTGACAAATTACCAGAGGCTGAGTATAGACTTATTTCATCTTAGGAAGGCCCAATCTTAGGGGACACTCCAACACTTTTTTAAGTTTTACCTACAGAATTCCCCACGACCCAGTGAAGATGAGAGAAAAATCCCTTCATGCTTTGGACAAGAAAAGGGTTAAGAAACCATACTGAAATATGCTCAGAGCATTCTGTTCTACTTAAGGCCTGCTCTCAAGAGAAACTACTTTGCCAGGGCATCCTCTGACCTAGGGGAAGAGTGATTAGACAATTGGAGCTTATCTAGCTTTCCCATCTCAAATAAGGAAAGGAAAGGAAAAGAAAAAAAGGGGAAAAAAGGCTAAAAAACTCTTCTGAAGCTCCCAACCCAGGATTCTGACCCACTAAAAAAATGCGAGATCTAATATTAAGAGTACAGAATACAGAACACTTCCCCTCCCTAATGCCTTACCACTCCATCAACAGGGCTCCAGAATAATAACAATCACAAGTGAGAGAGCTCCAAGACACAAACTCTATTTAACAAACAGTTTCTAAGGAAAATCAAAGACAACAGAGTATTTAAAAAAAAAAAAAAAAAAAAACCCCGAGAGGAAACAGAAACGTCTGATACTCATAGCTATAGTAATAATAAACACAGCCTAACTCCTAACGAGGTAAACATAAAACTTCACACTAAAGGCCTATTAATCTCATTTGCTATTGCTCAACATATTATTTTTGACTTTCAACAAAAAATTGCAAGCCATGCTAAAAGGCAAGAAAAAGCCTATGATTTTAGAGACAAACATTAGAACCAGATTCATATCTGGAGATTATCTGATAAAAAAATTTAAAATAACTATGATGACTGTGCTTAGGGCTCTAATGGGACAAGTGGGTAATACAGAAGAACAAATGGTTATTGTAAGCATAGAGATAAAACTCTAAAAAAGAAAGCTAAAATAAAATGCTAAAAATCAAAACCATTGTAAAAAAAAAAAGGAGGAATCAGAAAGAATCAGCTTGAAGACATGTCAATACAAACTTCCTGAACTGAAATGCAAAAAAAGAATGAGAAAAATGGAACAGAACATCTAAGAACTGTAGGACAATTACAAAAGATATAACATGCATACAATGAGAACCCTAGAAGAAGAAAAAGATAAATAAGCAGAAGATATATTTGAAGGAATGATGGCTGAGAATTTTCCAAATTAATAACAGACACCAAAACACAGAAATCTCAGAAGACACCAGGCAGCATAAATATCAAAAATCTCCACCTAAATACATCAAATGCAAACTGCAGAAAACCAAAGATAAGGAGAAAATCTTGGAAGAAGCCAGAGGGAAGAAAACACCTTACTTATGGAGGAACAAGGTTAAGAATTATGTCAGACTTCCTTTCTAAAACCATGTAACCAAGAGGAAAGTGATGTGACATACAGGCAAACTTCATTTTATTATATTCCACTTTATTGTCCTTTGCAAATACTGTATTTTTCACAAATTGAAGATTTGTGGCAACTATGCATCAAGGAAATCTATCAGCGCCATTTTTCCAACAGCATGTCCTTACTTTATTTATCCATGCTGGCATTTTTTAACAATAAAATGTTTTTTAGTTAAGGCATATATATGGTTTAGATCTACACATAATGCTATTGCACATTTAATGAACTACAGTACAGTGTAAACGTACCTTTTATATGCACTGAGAAACCAAAAAATTTATGTGACTTGCTTTACTGTAATTTTAGCTTTATTGTGGTGATCTACAACCAAACCTGCAACATCTCCAAGATATGGCCATATATAAAGTGTTGAAAGAAAAAAGCCACCAACCTAGAATTCTGTATCCAATGAACTTATCCTTCAAAAATAAAGATTAAGAGAATAGAAAGACAAGCCACAGACTGAAAAAAAAATTTGTAAAACATATATCTGATAAAGGACTTGTTTCTAAAATATACAAACAACCCTTAAAATTCAAGATAACAAACAATCCAATTTTAAAATGAGTGAAAGATGTGAATAGACATCTCAACAAAAAAGACAAATAAATGGCAAATAAGCATAGGAAAAAATGCTCAATACCATACATCACTACATAATTGCAAATTAAAATAATAAGATATCACTACATATCTATTAGAAAATCTAAAATCCAAAATGCTGACAATAAAAAATGCCGTCAAGGATGCAGAGCAACAAGAAGGCTCATTAATTGCTGGTGGAAATGCAAAATGATAAAACCATTTTGGAAGCTGGTTTGGCAATTTCTTACAAAGCTAAACATAGTCTTATCATACCATCCAGCAATCACACTCCATGGTATTTACCCAAGCAACTTAAAAGCTTACATCCACACAAGAACCTGCACATGAATGTTTATGGCAGCTTTATTAATAAATGCCAAAAAATGGACGCAACTAAGATCTCCCTCAATAGGTGTATGAATAAACAAACTGTAGTACAGTCATACCATGGAATACTACTGAACAATAAAAAGAAATGAGCTTCAATCCCTGAGAATTCAGGAAGAAAAAGGGAGAGACAAACAGGTGAAGCACAGCGGATTTTTAGGAGAGTAAAACTATTCCGCATGACACTGTAACAGTGGATACATAAATTTACGCATTTGTGAAAACCCGTACAATTGTATAACACAAAGGATGAATCCCAGTGTAAACAATGAACTTTAGCTTATCATAATGGATCCATACTGGCTCATCAATTGTAATAAATATACCAGTCTGACCAAAGGTGTTAATAACACGGGAAACTATGGAAGGTAAAGTATATGGAGAATAAAATACCTAGGAATACAACTAACAAGGAACGTAAAGGACCTCTTCAAGGAGAACTACAAGCCACTGCTCAGCTAAATCAGAGAGGACACAAACAGATGGAGAAACATTCCATGTTCATGGTTAGGAAGAATAAACATCATGAAAATGGCCATACTGCCCAAAGTAATTTACAGATTCAATGCTATCCCCATCAAGCTACCAATGACCTTCTTCGTAGAACTGGAAAAAACCACCTTAAACTTCATATGGAACCAAAAGAGAGCCCGCATAGCCACGTCAATTCTAAGCAAAAAGAACAAAGAGGGAGGCATCACACTACCGGACTTCAAACTATACTACAAGGCTACAGTAATCAAAACAGCATGGTACTGGTACCAAAACAGAGATATAGACCAATGGAACAGAACAGAGGTCTTGGAGGCAACACAACATATCTACAACCATCTGATCTTTGACAAACCTGACAAAAACAAGCAATGGGGAAAGGATTCCCTGTTCAATAAATGGTGTTGGGAAAGCTGGCTAGCCATGTGCAGAAAGCAAAAACCGGACCCCTTCCTGACACCTTACACTAAAATTAACTCCAGATGGATTAAAGACTTAAACATAAGACCTAACACCATAAAAACCCTAGAAGAAAATCTAGGCAAAACCATTCAGGACATAGGGGTAGGCAAGGACTTCATGACCAAAACACCAAAAGCATTGGCAACAAAAGCCAAAATAGACAAATGGGACCTAATCAAACTTCACAGCTTCTGCACAGCAAAAGAAACAGTCATTAGAGTGAATCAGCAATCAACAGAATGGGAAAAAATTTTTGCAGTTTACCCATCTGACAAAGGGCTGATATCCAGAATTTACAAAGAACTAAAACAGATTTACAAGAAAAAAACAAACAAGCCCATTCAAAAGTGGGAAAAGGATATGAACAGACACTTTACAAAAGAAGACGTACACGAGGCCAACAAACGTATGAAAAAATGCTCATCATCACTGGTCATCAGAGAAATGCAAATCAAAACCACATTGAGATACCATCTCACGCCAGTTAGAATGGCAATCATTAAAAAATCTGGAGACAACAGATGCTGGAGAGGATGTGGAGAAATAGGAACACTTTTGCACTGTTGGTGGGAGTGTAAATTAGTTCAACCATTGTGGAAGACAGTGTGGCGATTCCTCAAGGACCTAGAAATGGAAATTCCATTTGATCCAGCAATCCCATTACTGGGTATATATCCAAAGGATTACAAATCGTTCTACTATAAGGACACGTGCACACAAATGTTCATTGCAGCACTGTTTACAATAGCAAAGACCTGGAACCAGCCCAAACGCCCATCAACGATAGACTGGACAGGGAAAACGTGGCACATATACACCATGGAATATTATGCAGCCATCAAAAACGATGAGTTTGTGTCCTTTGTAGGGACATGGATGAACCTGGAAACCATCATTCTCAGCAAACTGACACAAGAGCAGAAGATCAAACACCACATGTTCTCACTTATAGGCGGGTGTTGAACAATGAGAACACATGGACACAGGGAGGGGAGCACTACACATTGGGGTCAGTTGGGGGGAAATAGGGGAGGGACGGTAGGGGGTGGGGAGTTGGGGAGAGATAGCAAGGGGAGAGATGCCAGATGTAGGTGATGGGGAGGAAGGCAGCAAATCACATTGCCACGTGTGTACCTATGCAACAATCTTGCATGTTCTTCACATGTACCCCAAAACCCAAAATGCAATAAAATAAATGGGAAAAAAAGAAAAAAAAAAAAGAAGTCTTTGTACAATTTTTCTGTAAATCTAGAACTGCTCTAAAAAATAATCTATTTTTAAAATAATTATTATGAAACAGGAAGGACGTTATTACCCCATTCTGTAAAAAAAATTATGAATATCTATACAGAGAAAAAGAACAAAAGTTTTTATCAATGTACTGGAATTAAGGGTCATTTTTTTTTCCTTTGTGCTTTTCTAAATTTTCCACAATGAATAATAATTTACACATAACGCTTTCAAAATTGAAAAAAAAAATAATTTTGAAGTATTCAGAAAATTAAATACTTTTGCAAAGCTCACTCCACATAGATTAGTAAGTAACACCACTGAAAAAATATAAACTTGCTTACTTACCTTCAGGCATAACTGTCTGAGTCATCCGTGATCCAGCATTGGGAGCAATGGTGTTACAATGAATGTTGCTTTTCCTGCCTTCTAGTGCAAGAGTATTTGCAAGGCCCAGAAGACCCAACTTTGCAGCACTATAATTTGCCTGTCCAAAGTTGCCATATATTCCTGAAGCTGATGAAGTCATAATAATCCTAAAAAGAAAATCAGTCTCTCAATATCATCTTTTCCATAGTTTGATAACATTGCAACTCTAACTCTGTTTTGGTACTATTGAACCTACCAAAAGCATCTATGTGTACTGTCATTAGCTTCTTACAATCATGATTCATGTATCTAAAATAATATTAATTTACAAGTAATCTCTCAGAATTCAACTATAAGATTTAACTGTTTCAAAAAGATTATCTGGCCAGAACCAAATGATCTTACACTTATGCTTAAATGTAAGAATGTATATTCATTATCTATCAAAAACAATAAATATTTACAACTATAAAATAACCTCGTAACATGTAAGTTAAAATGTTAGCAAGAAATATTGGATCAAACAGTTCTAATTTTTCAGTCCTCATCACTTTGCCTCTCTCCCTTTCTGAATAATATTAAATGCCTCATTAAAACAATGCCATCTCAAAATCTGACCCAACCTTACTCACTCTACTTAGGCTAAATAAAATAAATCATATCATTTATTTTCAGAAACTGTCAGGACCAGGATAAACTAGAAATCTCCAACAAAAGCAGGCATCACAAGCAACTTGCTTGTATTAGGTATATATGAACCCTAAATTAAAAGGAATGACCTCAACACTAGAGTGTAACAGAGGACATGGATTAAGAGTGCTAGCACTGCCACAATGAGTTACTTACCTAAGAGCAATCATGAGAGGCCCTACAGTTCTAAACAGTTTATAAAAACTAACTCATGTCTGACTAGCACGAGCCAGCAGGAAGTAGCCATTCATCTCTCCGCAGTTGGGAAGATAGGAAATAACATTCGAGTTACAGAATAAGCTACAGCCAAATCCTCAATGTGTGTACTACCTTCTAAAATGCCAGAAATTAAGGCAGGAAGATCACTTGGGCCCAGGAGTTTGAGACCAGTCTGGGAAACAAAATGAGACACTGTCTCTACCAAAAAATTAAATCATTAGTCAGGCGTGGCGGCACACACCTATAGTCACAGCTACTTGAGAGGCGGAGGTGGGAGAATTGCTGAAGCCCAGGAGATAAGGCTGCAGTGAGGTAAAGTGCATGCTCATGCCACTGTACTCCGGCCTGGGCAAGAATGAAACCATGTCTCAAAATAAAATAAAATAAAATGAAATAAAATAAAATTGCCAGAGAACAGCAAGAAAATCTTTAATAATAAAAAGAGGTAAAAAGTAAATACAAATCTGTCCAGCTCAGCCAATCTGTGACTAAATGATACCAATTTAATGAGGGTATGTGCCAAAATCATCTGTTAAAAGCATGTACATATCTAAAGATGTTTTCCTCAATGTTAAAAATCATTTCACAACATTTCATATAATCTTTCCCTGTACACGAGAACCCCCCCCACACAATATCTTCAATCCCCCTTGACAACCACATGCGATTCTACCTTCCATATTTCTGTTTCTTCATGTGATCCCATGCTGCCCGTGTCACTTGGAAGGAGCCCCACAAATGAACTCTGTGGATTATATCTAAAACAATAAGTTATTTTTATGAAATATTTTATTAAAATTAGGTAGGCGCATCTGAAAATTAATAAGCAATGTATTTATACAAAGATGTTCATTTTATACCTAATGTATAAAATCACCTACTGTCCCACCCCAATGAGTATTTTGCCTTCGTTCCAGTTACGCTACTAATCAATAGTTCACACCCAGACTTACAACAGCTTTCCCCATAACTTATAAAATTGTTACGCCTATGCACATCTAAATACTATTAGTTTACACCCACGTTATGTAAAAATGTGCTAATATAAATATCTAAGATTTTTACAAATATAATTGGCACTCAACACTAACATCAGTTAAAGCATAATAATAAACTACATCATTCATTAAAAATACTTAGAAAATACTCACTAGTTCCCTATTGTTACCATTTGCAAATGAGTGCATAAAAGAGAGGCCTGTTTTCACGGATTTCCTTCTAATGAACAGACCACTTATGAAACATTTAGATAGACAACTCTAGATTTTAATTGTCAAGTTTTTAAGCATTGTTACTTATTTTTGTTAAAAAAAATATTTTCATATGTATATTAGAAGAAGAATGTAAGAGTGAAAAGAAAAAAAAAAGACAGACAAAAAGGTAGTCAGGAGTAGTGGGCTTAGTAGGATGAAATCAGAGAAGGAAATACCTCAGTCCCATCACAGCACCAAGAAAAGCACCAACATAAGCCCCCTTGCCAGCAAAGCCTATCTTTCTCAGCTTCTTTTCTACTCCAGTTGTTACAAGGGAAGCAGAAACTAAAAGCTCTTCTTAGTTTAATTCTAAATCAATGATATTAACTCTTCTTCCAAAGGATGGTCAGGCAATATTCCCCAGAAACCCACTCTATAAACAATGATACCACTGTTTCACCTCAGTTGCCATGCCTCCCAATGTCTCAGCCACCACTGTTCATTTTAGTTCTGATGGCCAATGAAAGTAAGGACAAAGAAGAGCAAAATTTAAAAAAAAAAAAAAACTGTGCTTAACTGTGATTTGTTCATTATCTAAACTCAATCTTTCCAATTCGGAAAGGATGGAAAACTTTCCTATTTACTAGAAGCTTCAAAATTACATCCAGGTTTTGTCCTACCCTGTTCTAAGATCTCCATCATTTTTAGTGCCCTAGACTTCCTTGCATATCCTGCTCTTGCTCTTGAAAAAGATTCACACAACTGGATAAGCACGTTAAAGGCTGTTAGAGTTAATATTGCTAGAAAATGCTGACCACTTCTTAAGGAGAAAAAGGAGGGAGAGGGAAACCTGAAGAAATAAAATCCTTTTAGACAACTTCTGCCAAATGATTTTACATTTTTTTAATGTATTAAATGTTTTTTTAAAAGAGGCTACTTCTAACTATTCATCGTTTTCAGTATACAGTTTATTCATCATTTATATTAGCAGCAAAAGTAGGTAGAAACAGATTTTTCCATAAATGTATACATTTATCAAATATTTAAAAGGCTAAATGGATAAGTATGTTCCATAGAGACATATTACAAACAACTTACCCCAGTCTTCATCACTTATCCTAGCAAAGGAACGATCCCTCAGAATTCTAAAAAAAAAAAATCGATGTCGTATAGGGTAAGAAGGGGGAGAGTATACACTTTAAAAAAGTATTATATGCACATCACTAAAAATGAAAAAAGAAATACTCACCCAGCATTGTTGACCACAACATCTACAATATAAAAAGATGCAAGTCACATATAAAAGCAAGCATATTCATTTGTATTTCCTTACAACTCACATTTCTCTCAAAACTGGCTTTTAACCATGAAAATGTAGGTATAATAGGTAAAGCGTACTATCAAGTTTATATCTATATCAAAAAAAACTGACTCACGAAGCCTAAGTATCAGATTATATCAAGCACCTTCCTCTCAAACTAGTATCTGTAAATTTTCCCACCTCTCTATCAAAATTCTATCCACTTATTTATAGAATTAGCTGTAGTATAACTTAGGTTCTGAGGATTCAGAACCATAAGCCATTCTACACTTAACCTCAAAATTCACTTAACAAGTTAAAGTTGGATTTTTCCTTGCCACTCAAAAGTAGAAAGTCCAAAAAGAAAAACATTAGAGTTACAAACTGATGCTTTATCTTGATATATAATTATTTTCTCACTATGAAAGAAAATAATTCGTTTTTAAGGTTCAGCCTTCTTGTGGCTATTTTCACCCTCTGATTTCACATTTTTATGGTCTCTATCCCTGTCAGATGATATGTGAACATGGTTCTAATTACTTCAATCTAACATAATTAGAAAAATAAATACGCTAGGCCAAACAAAAAAGGGAGCATACATTCAATTAACAATAAGTCACGTATTTCAGATTGAAACATGTTGGGCTTATCTTCTGTGATGTCTCCACCTAATAATCCAGTAACTTTTATTAAGAGTGTGTGGGACTAAACTGGAAAGATTAGCTAGAGAAATAACAGACTAACCAATTAATTTGAAATACTTCTTAAAAATTAAGATTTTTATTATAGAGGAATCATCTTAAGTAATCTGCAAGACATTGGATCATCTTAATCCAAATCATTATAAGTTTCCAAAAGAATCCACTGGGTCCTCTATTGCCAAAATACTGGTTTACTTTTTATCTTGTAAACACTTTTGAGGTTTAACTGAATTATTTTAAAAAGGGCACTGGGCGAACACTTGTAAGTTTTTTAAAGCACTTAAGGTGCAGAAAAACAAATTCAATACATATATCCATAAAATTGCCACCTCAATTAAGCCCTTTATGAAACAAGTAAAATAATTAACTTATAAATAAAATTTTTAAATTTGATTATGAGGAAAGAGATATCTGTTTAGTAAATAAAAGTAAACTTAAAAATATTTTATTAGGAAGGTAGAAGTTGCTCCACCAGGGCCATAACACAAAAAAACATCACCTATTCTTCCAAACGCATCCAGTGCTGTCTTCACGATCTTCTCTCCTTCTTCCACTGAATCTGAGGAAAAGGAAAATTTGTACGAAATTTCAGCCATCTCCCTTCCAAATGACTTCTAAATTCTGTGAGTCAGAGTACACAACAGATCCTATTCACCCTACAGAACTTACAAGAGATATCCATATCTGTAATAACTTGCTAATTATATCATATGCTCACTAATAAAATATTAAACAGAACAAAGAGTAGAATCATGAAACAGTCTATATTAAAAGTTTTAAAAATTCTCACAATTATAAAATATGTAGTCAGAGAACTTTGGCAGACTTAGAAAATCATAATTACACTGGAATGCTGAGATATTTGCTCAAAGATTATTAACGTGTCAAACAGCATTAGTTGAAGGAAAATAAATAGTATAGTTCTCTCAAATACCATACCATAGTTGGCCACTGCTTTTCCACCTTTCCTTCTTATTTCTTCAACAACCTTATCAGCAGCCAAGGAGCCTTTACCAACTCCTTTGAAGTCCCCTCCCAAATCATTCACTGTAACACAAAAACAAGCAAACAAAGCAAACAACAATTAAATTCTAGACTTCAAAATGTGTGTGTGTGTGTATGTGTGCATGTGTATGTATCTATGTGTGTACGTATATGTGTGTGTTGAAAATGAATTTCTAATTACTAGCACGACCCTTCAGTCATCTGCTCAATTCCTTCCTACCCTACCCCATCTTACTAAACACACCACAGGCATTTTCAAAATATGTCTCTTCATTTTTTAATACAAACATAAAGAAACAGCAAAAATAGGTTCTTCTCATGAAAATTTTAACTATGTAGTGTTTTTCCTCTTTTGAAAATTAAAAAAGACTGGGCATAGTGGCCTACACCTATAATCTCAGTACTTTGGGAGGCTAAGGTGGGAGGACTGCTTGAGCTCAGGAGTCCAAGACCATCCTCGGCAACATAGCAAGTCCAGATACTCGGGAGGCTGAGGTGGGAGGATTGCCTGAACCTGGGAAATCAAGGCTGCAGTGAGCTACGATCATGCCACTGCACTCCAGCCTGGGCAACAGAGCAAGACACTGTCCAGAAAAAAAAAGAAGAGGTGCAAAGAAAAGTTAAAAAAAAAAACACTAGGGGAGGGACAGCATTAGGAGAGATACCTAATGTAGATGACAGAGTGACGGATGCAGCCAACCACCATGGCACGTGTATAACTATGTAACAAACCTGCATGTTCCGCACATGTACCCCAGAACTTAAAGTACAATGAAGAAGAAACATGATTTAACCCACTTTTCAGGAAAAAAAGAAAGAAAAGAAAAATGTGAAAATCATTTTAAGATTAAATACACAGGAAAAAAAAACTACTATAAGATTTCGCAATCCCACTTCTAGGTCTTTATCCAAAAGAATTGAAACGCTAGTCATATTCATAATAGCTAAGATGTGGAAACAACCTAAATGTCCACGTATGGATGAATGAATAAAGAAAATGGGGTATATACATGCAATGGAATATTACTCTCCATTTATAAAGAAGAAAACCTGCAATATGTGATCATATAAATAAACTCTGAAGACACTATGTGAAATGAAATAAGTGAGTCACAAAAGGACAAATACTGTATGAGTCCACTTATGTGGGATATCTAAAATATCAAAACACATAGAATCAGAAAATAGAATAGTGGTTGCCAGGAACTACAGAGAAGCTGGAAATGGAGAGTTGCTAAGTAATTAATAGAAAGTTTCAATTATGCAAGATAGGTAAGTTCTAGAGATATGCTATACAACATAGTACCTATAACAATGCTACATTGCACATTTAAAACCTTGTTAAAAGGATAGATCTCATAAGTATTCTTATTACCACGATAAAAAAGTTTTTAAAAATTAAGAACAGAATGTTGAAATAATTTCTTCATAAGAAAGCCTTTATATCTAAGAATGGTTATTTTAAAACAGGCATGAGCTTAAAACATTAGACAGAAAATCCTATTTTCAGTTTTTACAACACACACAGTGTCTAGAATAAAAGAAATAAAAACTATTCATTAAAAGAAGTCAAAAATTACATACAGAACCAATATATATTTGGTATCTAATTTATACCATAACTCCATGTTCATATGTTTAACAACTGATCACACTTACCATATAACATCTCCCTATATCCAATTATATATTTACCAGCATTAATTCAGAATTTACTATTTGCAAGAAAATCTACAGAGGGACACACAAATGTATAAGAATGGTGCTTGCCCTCAAAAAGTTTATAATCTATTGAAAGTTAAGTATGTGATGGCCATAGTAATACACAGAGTTTAGCATAAAGTATATATCCAAGCCAACACAACCAAATAGAAACAAATAACAAAGTTAATTTACACAATAATTTATGAAAAAATTTACAAAATAACATGCAAAAACAAATAAAAAGATACATAGCTCAATGCCAAATAACTTGGAAAAACATAACTTAAGAGAATTGCTTGAAATGAAGAATTTGCATTGTGAAATGATCTTCCCCATAGGGTTATTGTATAGATTTTGAAAACTATAACAATAAAAAAGTTATTAATAAATAGCATAATGGTATATATGAAAATGTAATAGTTATGATTAACACAATTTTTAAAACACCATTTTTTTCCTTCTGAAAAATTGCTCTTTTTAAAATTGGGATGAAGGCTGAAAGTGGAATTGAATAAATAGGTAATGGGGTGATAGAGAGAAAAAGCCAATGCCTAAAATCAGCTAAGGCACATATATTTTCACTTAACTTTTTAAAAACAGGAAATGAGTTTTTCAAAATGTGAACTGAGATTTTTTTTTCTGACCGTATAAGTCTTACTGCAAATAAAAATCCTACAAAGACATAAAATAATAGAAAGAGGCTTATATTACGCCTCAAGTGATGGAAAAAGTGTTAGGATTCTCAAAAGACTGAATTCTTATTAACTGTACATTTCAATGCAATTATTCAAATGACAGGAAACTACCAGTTAAAAAATACCAAGATTTTTAAGGTAGCTAACAGTCTTTTATGACTCTTTTTAAGCACAGGAAAGTTCAAAAGCAAATTAGAAAATATGATACATAAGTGAAGAAAGAATTGTTTGTGCAATGAAATACTACCCCCAAGTGGAAATTTTACAAAGTGCAACCAAGCAGGCAAGCATTGAAAGCTGGATAAATAATCTCTCGTTCCATGTATGCATATCCATAAATGTGATACATCATATCAACAAAATAAAGGAGGAAAAACCATCTGATCATTTCAAGAGACATAGAAAAAGCATGTGATAACATTCAATATTCCTTTGTGATAAAAACTATCAACAAATTAGGTATAGAAGGAATGTACCTATATACAATAAAGGTCATATATAACAAACCTGCAGCTAACCATATTCAGCAGGGAACAGTTGAAAGCTTTTCCTTTAAAAACTGGAACAAAATTAAAATGCCCACCTTCACCACTCTTATTCAACATAGTATAGGAAGTCCTAGCCAGGGCAATTAGGCAAGGGAAAGAAACAAAGGGCGTCTGAATTAAAAGGAAGGACGTCTTGGTGAGGCTGGTCTTAAACTCCTGACCTCAGGTGGAAAAAAAAAAAAAGAAAAGAAGGACGTCAAACTGTTCCTGTTTACAGATGACAGGTTTTATATATAGATAAATCTAAAGACTCACCCAAAAAAACTCTTAGAACTGATAAATGAATTTGGTAAAATTGCAGAATACAAAATCAACATACAAAAATCAGTAGCATTTCTATACACCAATGTGTCAGGCTGTTTCTGTATTGTTATAAGAAATATCTGAGGCTGGGTAATTTATAAAGAAAAGAGGTTTAATTGAAGCACAGTTCCGCAGTCTGCAGGCAGGGTTCCAGCATCTGCTCCTGCTAAGGCCCTCAAGAAGTCTCCAATCACGGCAAAGGCAAAAGGGGAGCAAGTGCATCACATGGCAAGAGTGGGGGCAAGAGACGGAAGGAGGAGGTCGCAGACTGTTTTAAACAACCAGCTCTCACATAAACTAACTGAGTGAGAACTCATTTATCACCAACGGCTTGGTGTTAAGCCAATCACATTTCAACATGATTTGGAGGAGAAAAACATCCAAAGCATACCAAACAATAACAAACTAGTTGGAAAAGAAACCAGAAAGCAATCTCGTTTACAATCACCAGAAAAATAAAATAAAATACCTAAAAATAAATTAACCACTGAGGCAAAAGATCTCTACAATAAAAACTATAAAATACTGATGAAAGAAATCAGAAGGGGACACAAAAAAATGGAAAGACAGCCCATGTTCATGGATTGGAATAATTAGTACTGTTAAGATGGCCATACCACCAAAGTGATCTACAGGTTCAATTCAATCTCTATCAAAATACCAGTGGCATTCTTTTGTTGTTGTTGTTCCTAGCCACTAGACAATCAGGGGACCAGTGACATTCTTCAAAGAAATAGAAAAAAAAAAATCCTAAAATTCACATGAAACCACAAAAGATCCCAAATAACCAACGCAATACTGAGCAAAAAGAACAAAGCTGAAAGTATTACCTTACTCAACTTCAAAACATACTATAAAGCTATAGTTACCAAAACAGCATTGGTAGTGACCTAAAACTAGATACATAGACCAATGGAACAGAATAGATAACACAGAAATAAACCTACACATTTAAAACCAATTGATTTTCTACAAAGGTGCCAAGAACATGCATGGGGGAAAGGACAGTCTCTTCAATAAATGGTGATGGGAAAACTGGATATCCATATGCAGAAGAATGAAATTAGACCCCTATCTCTCACCATATAAAAAAAATCAACACAAAATTTATTAAAAACCTAAACATAAGACGTGAAACTATGAAATTACTAGAAGAAAACATAGGGAAAACATTTCAGGACATTGGTTTGGGCAAAAATTTTATAAACTGACCTCAGAAGCATTGGCAACAAAAGCAAAACTAAACAAATAAGACTAGATCAAACTAAAAAGCTCCTGTACACCAAAAAAACAATCAACAGTGAAAGACAACTTGTAGAATGGGAGAAAATGTTTGCAAACCATTTATCCAACAAGAGATTAATATCCAAAATATATATTCTTTAAAAACTCAATACCAAAAATAAATAATTCTGTTTTTTAAATGGCAAATTAGTTGAATAGGCACTTCTCAATGGCCAGGCATGGTGGATCACACCTGTAATCCCAGCACTTTGGGAGGCTGAGGCGGGAGGATCATTGGGGGTCAGGAGTTCAAGACCAGCCTGGCCAACACGGTGAAACCCCATCTCTATTAAAAATACAAAAAAATTTGCCAGGTGTGGTGGCAGGTACCTGCAGTCCCAGCTACTCAGGAGGCTGAAGCAGGAGCAGGAGGCAGAGGTTGCAGTGAGCTGAGATCACGCCACTGCACTCCAGCCTGGGTGACAGAGTAAGACTCTGTCTCAAAAAACAAACAAAAAAAAGACATATAAATGGCCAAGAAGTGTATGCAAAAATGTTTAACATCACT